GTGCTGCAACCAGCGCCCCGCTTGAGACATCGTCACAATCTGCTTCCAAGCGAAGGATGTTGAGCCCAGAAACAAGCAAACCGCCTGAGACATCCCCACAACATGGCCGCGAACGAGCCCGTGCAACCACCCCTGGCGGCTCCCCTTAGGGGTGCTGAAACCAGCGCCCCGCCTGAGACATCCTCACAATCTGCTTTCCAAGCGAAGGATGTTGGAGCCCAGAAACAAGCAAACCGCCTGAGACATCCCCACAAAATGGCCGCGAACGAGCCCGTGCAACCACCCCTGGCGGCTCCCCTTAGGGGTGCTGAAACCAGCGCCCCGCCTGAGACATCCTCAAATCTGCTCTCCAAGCGAAGGATGTTGGGCCCAGAAACAAGCAAACCGCCTGAGACATCCCCACAAAATGGCCGCGAACGAGCCCGTGCAACCACCCCTGGCGGCTCCCCTTAGGGGTGCTGAAACCAGCGCCCCGCCTGAGACATCCTCACAATCTGCTCTCCAAGCGAAGGATGTTGGGCCCAGAAACAAGCAAACCGCTTGAGACATCCCCACAAAATGGCCGCGAACGAGCCCGTGCAACCACCCCTGGCGGCTCCCCTTAGGGGTGCTGAAACCAGCGCCCCGCTTGAGACATCCTCCAAATCTGATGTGTGTTGAGTAAGTCTGAGTATGAGTAGGTCTGAGTATGAGTATGCCTGAGTATGAGTAAGTCTGTGTATGAGTAAGTCTGTGTATGAGTAAGTCTGGGTATGAGTAGGTCTGTGTATGAGAAAGTCTGTGTATGTGTACGTCTGGGTATGAGTAAGTCTGAGTATGAGTAATACTGTGTATGAGTAAGTCTGGGTATGAGTAAGTCTGTGTATGAGTACGTCTGGGTGTGAGTAAGTCTGTGTATGAGTAAGTCTGTGTATGAGTATGTCTGAGTGTGAGTAAGTCTGAGTATGAGTAGGTCTGAGTATGAGTAAGTCTGAGTATGAGTAAGTCTGAGTATGAGTAGGTCTGAGTATGAGGAAAGAGGAGGAGGGGAGGAGGAAAGAGGAGGAGGGAGAGGGAGTAGGAGGCGTCCAAGTAATTATTCACTGCGTGGAGCTCCCCATCTGTGCATCTACTCGCATGGACCTGTCCGCCGTGAATGTCTAGGCGCAAGAGCTTTCGAATATTAACGGGCTTCAGTTGTGACGGTCTGGACATCAATCTAACTGCGAATGAATTGGAGTGTGAATGAGCCTCAGTAGTACGAGCGCGTCTCTGTGCATGAGCCTGGGGCCTCCTGGGGCCTCCTGAAACCTACTGGGGCTTCCTGGGGTCTCCAGGAGCCTCTTGGGACCTCCTGGGACCTCCTAGGAAGGTTTCGTGTCCCAGGAGAGGCGCAAGGTATAGCAACAGACGTACATAAAACATTGCGGATTAGAGCCACAGGAGAAGGGCAATCTATAGGAACACGCGTGCAACACCAAGGATTCGTGCCCCAGGAGAGGCCCAATACATAGGAACATGAGCAAAACATTTAGGATTGTGTACATAGGAGAAGGACCATCTATAGAAACATACGTAGAACATCAAATAATCGTGCTCCAGGTGAGGCCCAATCGATAGGAGCATACGTAAAACACATGGGATTGGAGCCACTCCTGTTGCCTTCTGAGGCCTCCTGCTCCTGGGGCCTCTCGGGGCCTCCTGTTGCCTTCCGAGGCCTCCTGGCGCTTCCTGTTGCCTCCTGGGGCCTCCTGTGGTTTCCTGAGGCCTTCTGGAGCTTCCTGGGGCCTCCTGGAGCCTCTTGGGACATCCTGTGGCCTCTTGAGTCTTTCTGTGGCCTCCTGATGCCTCCTGGGACCTCATGTGGTCTCCTGGGGCCTCCTGGAGCCTGTTGGAGCCTCCTGTGGCATCCTGAGAAGAATCTGCGCCCACGAGCCTGGCCACCAAAACAAGCAAACCGATCGAGGCATCCTCAAAATCTGGCCCACCTGGGGGGTGAAAATGAGCGCCTCGCTCGAGACATCCTCCAAATCTGCTCCGAAAGCGAAGGATGTTGGGCCCAGAAACAAGCAAACCGCCTGAGACATCCCCACAAAATGGCCGCGAACGAGCCCGTGCAACCACCCCTGGCGGCTCCCCTTAGGGGTGCTGAAACCAGCGCCCGCCTGAGACATCCTCACAATCTGCTCTCCAAGCGAAGGATGTTGGGCCCAGAAACAAGCAAACCGCCTGAGACATCCCCACAAAATGGCCGCGAACGAGCCCGTGCAACCACCCCTGGCGGCTCCCCTTAGGGGTGCTGAAACCAGCGCCCCGCCTGAGACATCCTCACAATCTGCTCCAAGCGAAGGATGTTGGGCCCAGAAACAGGCAAACCGCCTGAGACATCCCCACAAAATGGCCGCGAACGAGCCCGTGCAACCACCCCTGGCGGCTCCCCTTAGGGGTGCTGAGTATGAGTAAGTCTGTGTATGAGTAAGTCTGTGTATGAGTAAGTCTGGGTATGAGTAGGTCTGTGTATGAGAAAGTCTGTGTATGTGTACGTCTGGGTATGAGTAAGTCTGAGTATGACTAATACTGTGTATGAGTAAGTCTGGGTATGAGTGAGTCTGTGTATGAGTACGTCTGGGTGTGAGTAGTATGAGTAAGTCTGTGTATGAGCAAGTGGGAGTATGAGTAAGTCCGACAGGAGGGGAGGAGAAAAGAGGAGGAAGGAGAAGGAGGAGTAGGAGGCGTCCAAGTAATAACAAGAACCCCATCTTAGGATATGGGGAATAACAAGAACCCCATCTTAGGATATGGGGAAATAAAGGTCAAACAATATGAAACAAATAGTCCCCAGACTATTTTTGGATTACTGTTTGGCTATTTGGGGTGTATTTTTTATTTTTTCGTCGAAAATCCCCCTGTAGGGGGACACGCCCGACATAATCGTAGTCGACGTCGTCGTCGTTGTTGTGCGGCGGTGGCCTGGATATCGACTTCCCATTAATGGTGGGACCCCAGTCCGCCAATGATGTCGCCGAGAAGATCATCAGCTACCAACTAGTGGGGTGCGTTATAGAAACGTGTCGCGGTTGCGGCCTCGGGTGGAGCCCCCCTTCTGTGGGGATGCGAAACGTCTGAGGGGGGGCGCCGAAATCGGGGGTGGAACCGCCTGCGGGCCTTCGGTGGAGCTCCCAAGGGGGCCACGAAACGTTTGAGGGGTGCGCCGAAATGGGGGGCTGGAGCGACGTGCGGCATCCATCCTGCGACGATGGCGGAGATGCGTCGGCCTTTCTGGTGCGCAAATTCAGTACCAATTTTCTGGTTTGTGTAGCGCCCGTTGTATCAGCCAGCCTTGACCCCAGTGCAGGCCCGTGCGGTCCGCGGCGCCAGCAGTCGGCGCTGGGACCCGGTGCCGTTTCGGAGGCTAGTTTGTGTAGCATGCCGCTCGTCAGTTCCTTTCGCGAGAGTGGCCGCAGGCTCCATCACCGATCAGACCCCATAGCCCGTCGAATACTGCAGCCTTCAGAGGAAAGGCGCTCATACTGCTGCCCTCCGCCCGTTTTCCTCTTTTCGGGCCTCCTGGGAGGCCCTCGTCGCCACCGCTGGATTCGCCTCGAGATTCTGGTCAGAGCGCACCCCTGGAGAGGTCCGGGAAGCAGCGGCATCGGTACCTTTTGGTCTCCCCCGAGGAGGGCGTGTTGTTGTCCAGTTGAGGTGTCTCGATCGTGGTCACGCTAGGCGTAAGTCGGGCCTGTCCTCCGAAAGTGGGTTTTGGACGAAAAATTAAGTCACGCAGTATTGCCAAAATGCTCAAGCATAGGCAAGACATCGTCCCCATGCTATTTTTCGACTATCTTTGGATATTCCTCCTGTCGAGGGACGTGCCCGACCTGAGCCCTCCAGCCTCCTCCGCCTCGAGAGACCACCGCGCACCATGCGCGCACGCACCATGGGCTCCACGGGGCTGACCCGAGCGGCAGGGGCCAGGCGCAGTGCTTCCAGACTTAAGTCTCTACGGGAGGAGTATTCAAAAATAGTTTCAAGTAGTAGTCTGGAGACGATTTTCTGATTTTTTAGCACTTTTTAATTATGTTTTATTTTTCGTCCAGAATCTGGTTGTAGGGGGACAAGCCCGACCTTATTATAGAATCAGCATCTGCTGTATCCAGTTTGCTCCATTTGTTCTCGGCGCGTCTCGCCTGTAGCCCGGCCAGCGCCCTGCCGCTTTCGCACCTTTGCGCCCGCTGACCTAACACGTATCTAGTTTGCATATTCTGTCGACATCACCAGTGTCGTCATTGTTATCATCATCATCATCATCATCATCATCATCATCATCATCATCATCATCATCATCATCATCATCATCATCATCGTCATCGTCATCGTCATCGTCATCGTCATCACCGTCATCAGTATCATCATCACACTTTTCCCAGCCCCCAGGTCACAACATATAGTTTCAGCGTCTTCATACTTCAGTAACCGACGGCTTCCTACTTCAATCGCCTTTCACGTTTTCGGGCCGTGACCCTAACTACTGCGCCCGCTATCATTCTTAGTGCTTCTACCAATGTCTTCCCTTCCGAACGGCCTGCGCACTATCAAGCGCTTGCTGGAGGAAGATGACCGGGCATCTCTTGGGGGCGGTACCTGCAGATGTTTCACAGCGAGATGAGCGAGAAGCAGGTGTTAGACGCCCTGGGGCTCAGTGGCTTACGTTACCACTTCAAGTGCTCTGGGCTGCCTGGTTGGGGCCGCCGGGTCTGCTGAGGCGTCTTGTTCTAAGTTGGTGCCGCCGGCACGCTGAACATTTCCTTCGTCCTTATCTTGGAGGATTCAGTGGCATCTTGTTTCCGGGCTATGTTTGGACTTCCATTGGACTTCAAAGGATCTTTGGAGACCTTTGGAGGGCACACCAGCATCATTACACTCGCGAAGACATCATGTTCGGTGCTGTCGCCCTCGTCGTGCGCGTCGCCGTCATGGTCGAGGACAGGGGGAGAGGTGCGGAACCCCGGGAGGAGGGCACTCCTGGTCGCGCCAGGTCCAACAGTGGGGCCACGGATTGCTGTCCACACAGGCGCGGGGCGGATCCCTGGGACCCCAGATCCTGTTCCCTGGAAGCCCCCTGAGCCCGCTCGTGGGCCCGCAGAGCCTCGGGCTCGAGCGGTGCGCTCGATGGCTCGAGAGCGGGATGCCGACCCCGCGGGTGGCACGGGCTGCCCTCTTCTGGCAGGCAGGCCTCGCGGGCTGCTGCCTCGCGGCCAATGTAGCGCGGGCCCCTGCAGGCTCTCCGTCGCCGGCCGGCCAGGGGCGCCCAGCACCGGTGCTCTGGGCTGCCAGCGGCGCGCCGCAGCGAGGCGACGAGTACAGCTGGTCACAGGTGCCGCTCATAGGGGAGCCTGTGCCGATGAGCCCAGACCAGCAGGCGCGGAACCTATTCGCGCAGCAGTGCAAGGTCGTGTTGAGCGTGCGCGATGATCGGACCGACTTGCTCCCCCTGGACCCAATGCGGAGTTTCTGCGAGACCACAGACCGCCCCATGGAGTGCCGGATACTGCTGGTGGGGCAGCTCAAGGAGGTGTATTCGAGAGGGAAGAACCTCTGGGATTTCTGCCTGGAAGTGTACCAGTGGTTCCAGGATAGCTATGGGATGCACTGCCCCCAGCAGTGCAACCTGCTGCAGTGCAAGGCCACATGCGAGTGGTTGGAGGCGAAGAAGCTGGTGGACCAGAAGAGCCAGCTCATTAAGCAGGAAAGGATTCGCCACGCCGCCGCCGGGGCTTCGATCGAGAGGCTGAAGTTGCAGAGGGCGGAGGCGGAGCAGAACGTCACCGACGCGAACAGGACCGTGGACAGGGCAGAAATGGGTCTCCGGCGCGCCGTGGCGAGGAGGAACGAGACGAGCGCCGCCGTGGAGGCCGAGCGCCGGAAGGTCCTCGAGAGAGAGCAGAGGCTGGGGAGCCTCGCCCAGAAGCGGGCGGCGCTCGAGGAGAACGCCTCGGCGCAGGAGGCCGCGGTCACGGGGCTGCGCCGCGAGCTCGACTTCCGCAGGCTCGACGGGGAGCAGGCGGGCAGCCGTGTGCAGCAGCTGCAGGGCGAGCTCCGGGAGCGCCAGGCTGGCCTCGAGGCGCTGGGGCGCCAGGAGGCCGCGGCCGCGGCCCAGCTGGAGGGCCTTCGCGCCTCCTCGGAGGACCTGGCCGCGGAGCTCGAGGACCTCGCCGCGCGCTGGCGGGCGGCCAACGAGACCGTGCGTGCGCTGGAGGGCCAGGTGGCGGCGGCAGAGCAGAGCCTCGAGCAGGGCGCCGGGCCGGTGAGCCTGAGGCTGGAGGGCGAGGCGGCGGGGCGGCAGCGGGAGCCGTGCCCGCGGCCGGCCGGGTGGTGCGCGAGCGACGCCACGAGCTACATCGACACTCAGGACTGCGACGGCGACGGCGTCCCCGACCCTCGGTGCGTGGACGCCGACGGGCAGGAAGGCTTCCTCGGCTCCGCGCGCTCGTGCCGGAGCACATGGCCCGGCGGCAGGTGCCAGCAGTCGTGCTCGCGCCCAGCTGGCTGGTGCGGAGGCCCCGGCGCCAGCTACGCCGACTCGCAGGATTGCGATGACGACGGTATCCCCGACCCGCACTGCGTGGATGCCGGCGGGCAAGAGCGATGCAAGTCGCTTCGCGTGGGGCACGGCCGGGCAAGCGTTCCGTCCGCTCCTGGGCTGCCTTGAGGGGGGGTGGTCTCTTGGGGTCGGACGGGGTTAGGATGAGGATAACTCCGTTCCAGAGCGTTTTGGAACGCTCTGAGAAGGCCGCGGCGCCCGAGACATCCTCCAGAGCCGCCGGATCTCAGAGATTCTAGATTTTTCCTCGTCCGATTTTGTCCTCGTCCTGGCTTCGCTGTATGGGGATGCCTCACGTTAACACTGTCGTCAGAATCACCCCAGCCCCGACAGGGACAGGGGCAGGCGAGTGGGTGCTGCGGAGCCCGAGGGAGCGGGCACCCATTCCACCCTTGAGAGGGAGGAAGTTCGGTAGCAAATCATGGGAGCATGGTGTGCCCTCTGAAATCCGTCTTCAGCGTCGAAAGGCGTCGATGAGATATAGCGTCGGTTCGCGTCGGTTCGCGCCGACTTCGCGTCGATTTGGAGTCGAGTTGGCGTCGATTTAGCCTCGACTTCGCGTCGACTCGCACGAGCCGACGAGACGGTGCGGGAGGCTTCCGCACGAGCTGCCACCGAAGAGGGGGGGGGGGCAACAGGCCGGCCCGCCGGGGGTCCCGGGCCTCCCTTCCCGGTGGGGGTGGGCGGGGCGGGCATCGGGAGCCTTGAGACGGGGGTCAATGCAAACGGGGGTCGGCCAGGGCACCGGATCCTGCACGATCCTGCGGAGACCCCCTCTGGCGGACCCGGGTTATGGCGAGCCGCTCGTGGCCGCGGGGCGGCCGCGCGCATTGGCTGACCCGGGTTTGCGAAGATTTGCGTTGCAGTTTTTGTTTTCCTGCATTGCAGTTTTTGGTTTCCTGCTGACCCGGGTCTGGATTGACCCGGGTCAGAAGATCGCCGAGGGCAGCGCCCGGTGAGCCCAAGCGGTCGAGTCGGGGATCGGCTGCAGCATCTCGGGGGCGGCCAAGAGGGGGGTGATGGCTAGGGAGGGGGATATTACGGGGCGTGGAAACGGCCACAGCCATTGCTTTTCTTTTGATGCCGCCTTCTAGCCCGCAGCAACAAAGCAGTGGTTGTGGTCATTTTCGTTGAGCTTGGCACCAGGGAAGTGACCACAACCATTGGTTCTTTTTCGGCTGGCTGGAAGGCGGCGCAAACAAGAAGCAGTGGCTGTGGTCATTTTCCCGTCCCGCAGATATCATGGCGTGGACCATGATATCTCCTCGGATCTCATGGCGCCTCTGCTTGTGTCATGACGTCCCTGCCCCCCCCCCCTTGGGCCGCGCACGTGCCGCCGGCCACGATTTGCGCCCCCCCCTCTTCTTGGACGCCCCCCTCTTGGCCGCCCCCGAAGAATTGATCCACCCCAACACTGATTTCCTCGTCAAGGTTGCGAAGCATACGAGCAATGCTTACAGATCCACGGGGCACGACTTCGACTGCCAGTCGAAGGAGCAGAGCCCACATATAAGCATAAACTTTTGGCGCCCCGCGCGGCTTCCTCGGATCCGAGGCGCCGCCCCCTGGCGCGCGGAGCGCGCCAGGGAGCGGGGTCCAGCGCGAACCCAAGAAATCCGCGCGGAGCGCCAACACTTTATATATATATATATATATATATATATTATACACACACACGTGTTTGTGTGGTTTTTGTTGTTCTCCTTCCGAGTCCATCTTTTTTCCCGTGGCCTCGACGAGCGCCTCAATCTCTGGGGCAGATCAGCTCTGCAGCCGATGCCCTGCGCGAGCGTGGGCCGGCGTGTTCCTCGGCTCCGCGGGGGCCTGTGCGGACGCGCGCCCCCCCCGCCGGTGCCGGGCGCCGCGCGGGGGGCCCGCGCTGCTGGCCGCCGCCGCGCGCCTGCGGCGGAGCGCCGCGGACCCCCAGCTGGAGGCGCTGCGCAGCGCCCTGCGGCAGCGGCTGGAGGAGGCCCGGGACGGCGCCGCCGCTCTGGAGTCGGGGCTCAAAGAGACGGGGGTCCATCGGGCCGGGCGAAAGGGGGGGACTGGGAAAGGGGGGGTAATTACGAAATTTGCTGCATGCAGCTGGTTTCGGCCTCACCGAGGGGCCCATTCCTCGATGCATGGGCGCCTCCGGCGCCGGGAGGCGCCGGGAAAATCAGCTACGTGAGCTGATTCTCAAACCCCCCCTTTGCTATCCCCCCCTTTCGCCCGACCCGAGAGACGGGGGTCAATGCAAACGGGGGTCAGCCAGGGCACCGGATCCTGCAGGATCCTGCGGAGACCCCCTCTGGCGGACCCGGGTTATAGCGAGCCGCTCCTGGCCGCGAGGCGGCCGCGCAGACTGGCTTGCCCGGGTTTGCGAAGACCTGCGTTGCAGTGTTTGTTCCTGCATTGCAGTTTTTTGGTTTCCTGCTGACCCGGGTCTGGATTGACCCAGGTCAGAAGATCCCCGATGGAGCTCAGGCAGTGGCGAAGCGTCCTGGCCCGCCCAGAGGCCCACCAAAGAACCTTTTTGTGGTTTGCACGAGGTGTCTTGTTTTGGCACCTCGTGCTGATGTTCTAGGAGCGCCGTTTCTCTGTTCTTGGGACGCTTCTGGGGTCGAGGAGCATTTCGTGGTAGGCAGTGGCGAAGCGTCCTGGCTCGCGCATAGGCCCACCAATCTAGGCCTCCTAGATGGGGTCGGAGTAGATGGGGTCGGAGGATCGCGCCGCATATCGCCGACGCATCGGCGATGCGGCTCGATGCGGATCCCGATTATCTCCACGCCGGCGTCGCCGATGCATCGCCCACGTCGACGATGCATCGCCGGTGCATCGCCGATGCATCGCCGATACATCGCCGATGCATCGCCGATGCACCGGCGATGCGGCGCCATCCTCCGCCCCCATCTGCTCCGACCTCATCCAGGAGGCCTCGAACCAAATAACCTTTTGTGGTTTGCACGAGATGTCTTGTTGTATCACATCGGGCTTATGTTCCAAGAACACTGTTTCTGTTCTTTGGGCATCTCCGGGTTCTAAGAACATGTCGTGGTAGGCCTATTGAAATGCCGGGACGGTCGGTCCCTGCTCAAGGAGCGGGAGGTCGTGAGGAAGCAGAACGAGATCAACGCGAACGCCGTGAGCGCAGAGAGGGCAGGGGACGACCTGGCCAAGGACTACCGGGCGGGCAACGAGACGGAGGCCGAGGTGAGGTCCCTGAGGGAGGAGCTCGCCAGCGCGCAGGCGGGCCACCACGATGCGAATGCGTCCTCGCGGGAGCTGGTGGAGAGCATCGGCCGCGCCCAGGACAGGCTGGCCGCCACCAGGGAGGAGCTCGCGAAGGTCGGGCGCACGATCGAGTTCGAGGGCGGCGTGCTGCGCGAGGAGCAGGGCTCTCTGAGCAGGGCCGAGAGCGCCGCAGCCACGGCCAGGGGCCGGCTGCTGCTGGCCAACGAGACGGTGGCGGGTGCGAAGGAGGGCCTCGAGAAGGCCCAGGCGGTCTTGAGGAGTGAGCACCGGTCAACCGATCCCCATCCCCACCGGCGCGGCCTCGGCCCCACTGGCCGGCCTGCCCCCGAAGGCAAGGTGTCCCGCTTTTCCTTCGGGCCTCGTGGGGCCTGGGGGGGGGCTCGGAGGGCTGAGCTGCCCTGGCCCTGTGTCGCAGTCCTAGAGATTGACACCAACACCAAGATCGGCGGTGTGCCTCCACCGCGGGAAGACGATCCCGATCTCGGTGATGGTGGTAATATTCGGGCTTCCAAGGTGACCGAAATCTTACCACCAACACCGAAATCTAAGATCATCATCTCCCTGTGGAGGCAAACCCCTGTGCTGGTGTTGGTGCCAATTTCCAGGCCTCTGTGGGGATGGGGATCGGCCACACGGTGCTGAAGGATGCTGGAGGAGAAGCTGGTGGCCGAGCAGGCCTCGCACGCCTCGCACGGGGAGGATCAGGAGGGGAAAAAACACACAGACACAATGAATCGTCGATTCCCAGAAAGTATGGGAAAATATGGGAAGTGGGGGGGGGGAAGACAAGAGCCCAGAAAATATAGGAAAAGATGGGGAATCTTTTTTATTTGTGTGTATTCATTTGCGTGTCCTGGGGCCCCTTCCGAGGAGCTGGAGAGGGACATCGAGGCCAACCGGAACGCCACCGGGGGCCTCCTGCGCAGCACGCCAGAGATCGTCACGCAGCACGGCTTGGGCCTGCTGACCTTCTCGGGCAGGGCCCTCCGTCGGGGCTGGCGCCGGTGATAGAACCGAGGCGAGCTCTGTGAAGCGGGAAGATGCGGTGCTGGGAGATGTCCATATTCACCGCCGGGGGAACTGACGTGGGACCCCAGCGGGCGGTGGACATGGATATGCTTGGGCCCCAGGGGGCCCAAGTGTACCCCTACCCGCCGCCTGCCGAGATCCCCGAAATCGATCCCCCAGGCGGTGGTCATGGATGAATTGATAAATCTCCGCCTCGGAGAAGGCGCTCGATGCAGCGCTCACTGCCGGCGCGCCCACTTGACCCGCTGAGGGCTGACAGTCATCGTCGTGGTCCAGCCGGGCAGCACTGGCGTCTCGCTCAGCCTGCACTTTCTCGGTAGGCTCAAGTCGGGCCTGCCCCTCTACAGGGGGACACGCCCGACCTAACGGCAGGCTTAGGTTAAGCCGAGGGCAGCCGCAGCGCGCCGCAGCACTGCACGCAGCGACAACGATAGGATAGGGGGGTTAGGCTTATGATGTTCCAACCTACTTTAGCCTTGATCACCAGAAAATAATTTCGAGCACCAAGAGAGTACCGAAACTCGAGGGTATTCACGTGTCGGGCCCTGGGAGACACTCGTCCGACATTGTTTCGTCACTGTTTCCACACTTTTCCGGGTGCTCGAAATTATTTCTGGGATGTGGTCCTGAAGTACGAAGGGAGCAACATAAGGTTAGGCTCAGGGAGGAACGCATCGACCCCCAGTCGCCCATTCATCGCCGATGGCGGTCTGATGGCCCAACCCCGCTCAGGAGCGTGCGCATTCGCTATCGGGGCCTATCGCCGATCTATCGGCGATACATACATATATATATATATAACCGATTCCAGGTCGATGCTAATCCCCCCCTGTGCCAGTGCCCCCCCACCCTGTCGATGCCCCTCATGTGCGTAAGCAGTCACACCCACTGGTGGCTTGCCTTTCGAGGGATCGTCGGTATCCTCGTCCATCTCGTCGTCGCTGCCGTCTTCTTGCTGTAGTCGCCGTGCCATCGCAGCTTCTGCAGCTGCCGTGCCGGACCACCACCGCCGTACAGGAGTCCCTTCGGGGATCATCCTTCACATTTGGAGCGATATAGAGAAGATCCGCATGGCCCCTGCGCAAGGATGACACGCACACATCGAGATGTGTACACGTTTTTTGTTGAAGAAGCATCGCCACCATTGTGCTGCATCACACATTGCCGCCCTTCGCATATTATTGTTATATGGGGAAGTCGGGCTCCCTCCCGAACCTCCTGGTTATATTCCAGCCTGCGTCGGCCTGCTGCGTGCTCAAATCAGCCAAACGCAGTTTTCTCCAGTATCTCGCGCCAGGCCAAAGATCGTCGAACATGGCTTGAAGGCGGGCTACGAGTTCCCCAAGGGAGCCCCTCGAGCTTCCAAAGTGGTGTGGTACGCTGGGGACTCCCTGGGCCAGGAGCACTGCTGGCAACGCTCGAGAAGAAGGCTGGGGATGGATGCTGGGAAGCATATCCATACCCACGGCCTCGCGGTCTAGACTCCTCATACGGAGGAGGAAGAGGAGGAGGAGGAGGAGGAGGAGGAGGAGGACGAGGAGGAGGAGGAGGAGGAGGAGGAGGAGGAGGACGAGGACGAGGACGAGGAGGAGGAGGAGGAGGAGGAGGAGGAGGAGGAGGAGGAGGACGAGGGTGCCCCGCGCGGAGCGCATCCGCAGACGGGATCGCCCGCACACTCGCCGCTGGTGGCCTTGCGCCCTCGGACAGCCTCGGGTGGCCCCGGGGGCCCGGCAAGGGGAGGCGTCGGGGCTCCCGAGACGGGGGGTCAATGCAAACCCAGACCCCCTCGAGTCATGAAAAAATTACGACGGGAGGTTTTTCCATATTTTCCGCCTCTGGGGGCCCTTACCGGCCCTCGGGACAGTCAAAAAACGATTCAGGATGAAAAACCGGTCCCGGCGAATAGGTCCGGACCTCTGGTGGTCGCGTCATGAAAAAATCATGACGTCGGGGGTTTGGGAATGCTGATTCACGAAGGTGAAGCAAAGTTAGCACGGCTTGCCCCGTGCGTGTGCTGTCTTCCAGCCCTCTGCCTCTCCCCCCTTCCCATGTGCAGCTGCAGCCGTTTCGGATCAGGCATGGGGCGCCGGTGGCAGTCCGCGCGGCGAGGTGCCGCTGCACCTCGCTCTTGGCACTGTGGCTTGTGCGATGCAAAAAGAATGGGAGGGGAGCGGGCTAACGGGGGTCAGCCAGAGCGCGCGCGATCTTGCAGGATCCTGCAGGGCCAGGGGTCGCATGGGCCCGGGCTCGGGCGCAGGGTCCTGCAGGATCCTGCAGGATCCTGCGCGTGGGCCCGGGCTTGTGTGCGGGATTTTGCAGGACCTTGCAGGATTCGGCAGGGCCTGACTGACCCGGGTCTGGGCTGACCCGGGTCAGAGGATCCCTGAGTGGGGGGCGAGGGCCGAGATCGTAGAAAAGCACCGGGATTGAGCTGCTAGATCTGATCGTCGGACGTCTGGAGTCGCCTCTCTCGACGACGCGTCAGAGTGACCTTTCGCCGGAGTGACCCTTCGTGCGGGCCCAGTGGGGCCCCCCGATCGCCGAGTGCGATACGATGGCAGCGGCTTGCGCGCCTGGCTTGGGGGCCCGCTCGCGCCTCCTCCCCTATAGCCGCGCACCAAAGGTCACTCTTACCTGGGGTCATTCCTGCGTGCAGTCGACTCTCGTGAAGCGAAGCAGGGGGCGGGGGGGGGGCGGAGGAGCAAGCACGGGCAAGTCGACGATCCTCGGGTCGTGTGCCAGCCCAAGCCGTCGGCGGGAGGAGGAGCAGGAGGAGGAGGAGAGGAGGAGGAGGAGGAGGAGGAGGAGAGGAGGAGAGGAGGGAGGAGGAGGAGGAGGAGGAGGAGGAGGAGGGTGGGAGGGTGGGGGGGGTGGAGGGGGATGGAGGAGGGTGGAGGGTGGAGAGGGTGGAGGGTGAGGAGGAGGAGGTGGAGGGTGGAGGAGGAGGAGGAGGTGAGGAGGAGGAGGAGGAGGAGGAGGAGGAGGAGGAGGGTGGAGGACGAGGCGGGTGGTGGATGAGGAGGAGGAGGATTTCAGCACGCACTTCCCGCGTTCGACGTCCGAGGGACTGCGCTTGCGTGAGGTGCGCCGAGATACTCTCGAGAGCGTATCTCGACATGCCGCTTTCAAGGCTTGTGCCAGCGCCCTCCCCCCTGCTACCGTGGGGGAGGGGGCGGTTGCTGGAGAGCGCCGGCGGAGGGGAGCCGTGGTGCTCCTGAGCTTCGAGTGATGCTTTTGAGGAGCGGGTCCGAAGGCCCCAGTGCTGCCGCCCGCATGCGTCCCGCACACCCATATCGGCACACCCCTCACACGTTTCGTGGCCCCATAATGAAGCCCCACCGAAGGCCACAGTGCTGCCGCCCGCATCCGTCACGCACACCGAATTCGGCATGCCCCTCACACGCTTCGTGGCCCCATAGGGAGCCCCACCGAAGGCCCCAGTGCTGCCGCCCGCATGCGTCACGCACACCCAATTCGGCACACCCCTCACACGCTTTGTGGCCCCATAGGGAACCCCACCGAAGGCTCCAGTGCTGCCGCCCGCATGCGTCACGCACACCCATATCGGCACACCTCTCACACGTTTCGTGGCCCCATAATGAAGCCCCACCGAAGGCCCCAGTGCTGCCGCCCGCATCCGTCACGCACACCCAATTCGGCACACCCCTCACACGCTTCGTGGCCCCATAGGGAGCCCCACCGAAGGCCCCAGTGCTGCCGCCCGCATGCGTCACGCACACCCAATTCGGCACACCCCTCACACGTTTCGTGGCCCCATAGGGAGCCCACCGAAGGCCCCAGTGCTGCCGCCCGCATGCGTCCGCATGCGTCCCGCACACCCAATTCGGCACACCCCTCACACGCTTCGTGGCCCCATAGGGAGCCCCACCGAAGGCTCCAGTGCTGCCGCCCGCATGCGTCCCGCACACCCAATGCGGCACACCCCTCACACGTGTCGTGGCCCCATAGGAAGCTCCACCGAAGGCCCCAGTGCTGCCGCCCGCATGCGTCCCGCACACCCAATTCGGCACACCCCTCACACGTTTCGTCGCCCCGTAAGGGAGCCCCACCGAAGGCCCCAGTGGCGGTGCTCACATGCGCATGCGTCCCGCACACCCATTTCGGCATATCCCTCACAGGTTTCGTGGCCCCATCATCCACCGGAGGCCCCAGTGGCGGCGCTCACATGCGTCACCCACACCCACCCAATTCGGCACACCCCTCACACGTTTCGTGGCCCCATAGGGAGCTCCACCGAAGGCCCCAGCGGCCGCGCTCACATGCGTCCCCGCCACCCATCCCGGCACGCCCCTCACAACAACAGGTTTCGTGGCCCCATAGGGAGCTCCACCGAAGGCCCCAGTGGCACCGCCCGCATGCGTCACCACCCGCACCCAATTCGGCACACCCCTCACACGTTTCGTGGCCCCATAGGGAGCTGCACCGAAGGCCCCAGTGGCGGCGCTCACATGCGTCCCCGCCACACATCCCAGTACACCCCTCACGCGCTTCGTGGCCCCAGAGGGAGCTCCACCGAAGGCCCCAGTAGCGGCGCTTACAGGCGTCTCCGCCACCCATCCCGGGCCCCCCCCCGCAGCAGCATCATGTTTCGGGGACCCATAGGGAGCTCCACTGGAGGCCCCAGCGGCGGCCCTCACATGCGTTTCCGCCACCCATGTCGGCACGCCCCGCGCGTGTTTCATGTCCCCATAGGGAGCTTCGCAGAATGCCCCAGTGGCACCCATCTCGACACACCACTCACACGTTCCGTAGTCCTATGGGGAGTTCCACTGAAGATGAAACCCGCAGATGCGGTACTGACAACTGCATATGGTTGGGTTCTTCGCCAGGCAAATTTTTTGTTTGAAGGTTTGGAAGTAAATTTAGGAAGGTTCGGGTGAGGTTTTTGGAAGGTTTTGGTGGAAGGTTCCAGGATTCCTGGAACCTTCCAACATTATCCTGGCGAAGGACCGAACCAT